CCTGGATGGGATGCTAATCCATCGCAGCAATACCATCCCATCACTAAATTCACCGGTCCCTATTTGTTCAGCTGGGTAGAAAGAGGTATTGTAAGAGTAAGGGGTCTTGCCCAAGATCACTGCTCAACGCAAAGGCCCTAGACAGGGCTCGAACCTGTACTGCTCGATCCGGAGTCCAACGCACTAATCATTATGCTTCCGCTCCTCCAAACTTCAACGTACCTGGAGATAACTCCTTAGCTCGCGTAAGAAGGAACGTTTCCCAGTCAGCTGCAGCCTGTTAACTAAAAAGTTCCCTTTCGTCGGGATTTTGAGACTGATGATGAAACAAGCCGCTAGCTAAGCTACATGGCACCTTGCTTAACCAGTGGATAGCAAAACAGCACAGGCCCAGGTGTATGGAGCCACTTGGAAAGCACTGCTTGAAGAACTGGGTTCCGCATGCTGCCACGTAAACGTTGGGAAATGCCGTAAAATAGCTCGGAGGTCCTGGTATCAAACCTTGCAGGAAAAACGGACAAAAAAAAAACATAAATCGGGGGACAGAGATTTTAAGCAATGGTTTTACTTTACTAGTGTCCGTCATATATAGAATTTACCGTTTCAGTGCCAGATTAATGCTAAAAGACGCATAGTATCCAAGAAACTCTCTGGTTGGAGTACACCTGTCACATTCATTTGTCAGGTATTTTTTGACAACAAAGTAAGCAAACAGAATTGGTGGTGGCGGAGAATAAAGAAAAATACATTTCGTAACGCAAAAGTTTTCAAATTAAACAGGTTAACCAAACTTTTAAGCCTGTTTGGTTATTTGTCTGTGGGCTATGTATACCTTGAAGTAAGGAAAATAGAGATGCGAAGTCATTGGTTGGTTGGTCCTCGTAGAAAATGAAAATTTCAAGCTCACTGCCGTGTAAATTTCTCAACTCCTCCACGCATGAGTAAATGAGCGCCATTGAGGTCCCTCCATCGGCAGGACCATAGTCAGCTATTGTAAATACAGAGCGTGGAGTCACTTGAAAAGATCTCACACACTCAAGCGCGATAGGAGCCAGTTCCTTCATAGAATCCAAAGTATCAAGAACTTTAGAAGACCACGATCCTACTCCATGTTCGCCGTATGGTAAGTACCAGTAAGGAATCTGCAAGACAGTCAGGCAGTGAATTTTCGTACTGGTCATTATATTATTTCGAATGATCTTCTGACTTTTCCTTTGATATTTATTTGGTCTATATATGAAGAATTGTATTCCATTCCATTTTTATCGATTCCATTTTCTTCCAGTCTCTTCCATTCTCCTCCATGCTCTTCCATTCCATTCCATACTCTTCCATTGTCTTCGATTTTGTTCAATATCCTTCCATTCCATGCCATTCTCTCCCCTTCTCTTACGTTCCCTTCCATTCACTTCCACTCCCTCCACTCTCTTCCACCCTCTTCCACTCTCTTCCATTCTCTTCCGCTCTTTTCCGTTCTCTTCCATTCCTCTTCCACTCTCTTCCACTCCTTTCTATTCTCTTCCGCTCTCTTCCATCTCAAACTGTCAACTTTTTAACCAATTAGATTTTATGGACTTTGCTTAAGTAGCCAATCAAAAAGCGAGAAAAGCTATTGACAATGCTCGCGTCATTTTGAATAAAATTAACTTATCT